AGCAGGTGCATTAGGGCAACTGCCGTACCTGAAGGTGGCCACATTTGATGGTGTGAAGTGAACCAGGGAGGGAAAACTAAGAAATGGGGAGCCTTTTCAGGAAAGGTGTTCATCAGGGAAGTCTATGGTCAGATTTGGGATCTCTTCTGAAGCAAGTTCCTTTTCCTCTTTTATATGATCTATGGGTGCAGGGCATGTGAGTGGCCACAAAGCTTCAGAACCTGACAAAAGACATCTTCTGCCTTATAACCTCAGACAGAAATACAACTAAAGAGTGCCTGGCGTGGGCCTCCTGGCAGCAGTTGCTGCTGGGTCTTAGTTCTCTCTGTCACCAGCACGAGCACAGGCCCGACCACAGGACAGATGTGTTGATTCATTTTTTCATTCAGCTGGTATTGACTACAACCTACACATGCCAGTCATTCCTCTAAGCACTGGAGACACACAGGGAACAAGGAGATGAGTCTCCTCAGCTCATCAGAGCTTATAGTCTAGGTAGAGGAGACAGACAACATTATAATAAATAAGAAGATTGCAGAGAGTGGTGCAAGCTATGAAGAACAGCCAAGCTGGAGTGACCTGAGGCTCCTTGTGAGGAGGGGACATGGGAGTTAAGACTCAGATGCCCAGTGGGTGCTCAAAGAATGTTTGTGGATGGTGATTGAGGCAAGTCAGAATGAAAGGCTTATTCAGTGCCACCTTCAGAGCATTTATTCGGCATCTATTGTAAACTGGGTCCTGGGAGAGAAAAATATTATATAAGGAGATATTGAAAATTTGTAATGTAATGGAAGCATGAGACCAAAGAGGAGTGAATGGCTATGTTTGGGTGGTTGGCAGTGTGAAGGGCCTTCCATCTCTTGGAATACCAGATGGTCTTGCCTGTTAGGGAGCACACTGGATCCTCATGCACTTTTTAGAATGATCTTTTTATTTTAGAGCAAATTACATACTTTTGTGAATACAGTACAGCATTCTCGCTATGCCCCACACCCAGTTTCCCCTATATTAGCATCTTACATTGTATGGTACATTTGTCATATTTCATGAATATGACACTTATTGTTGACGTTAATATTGATGAACTAACATTAACTAAAGCCCACAGTGCACCCCCATCTCCTTAGTCTTTCCCTCGTGTCCATTTTTTGTTTCAGGACACATTACATTTAGCTTTGTCTCTTTGGGCTCCTCTTCGGTGGTATGACAGTTTCTCATTTTCTTTGTCTGATAGTTTTGAAGCGTACTGGTCAGGTATTTTGCAGAAGTTCCTTGGCTGGAATTGTCTGATGTTCTCCTATTCGTAGATTGGGGCTGTGGAGTTTAAGGAAGAAGACCACAAAAGCACAATGCCATTTTCATCCAAAGGTATCAAGGGTGCAGAATATCATTATGACTTACTGATGTTGATGTTGACCTTGAACACCTGCCTGAGGTCAAGTTTTTCCTCTGTGAAGTTACGCTTTCTTCCCCCTTCCTTTCCATATTGTCCTCTTTTTGGAAGGAGGTCACTATGTAGTCACACTTACGAAGTGGGGAGTTTCCTTCCAACTCTTGAGGGCAGAGTATGTACGTAAATTATTTAGAATTTTTTTTGCACAGGAAATTTGTTTATTCTGATTTTAATGAATTTTTACCAACATATTTATGCTAGGATTTTTACTTTTTTAGAAGTTAAAGAATATGTCGGCATTTTTAGGAACTTAAAAATATTTTATTTCAGTTAACAAAACACATAAAATTACCAAGACATTGAATTGGAGGATAGGGGAAACATCAATAATTATTTAAAATTTTTCTGTCATCAACACACAACAAATAATGAAAAGGATTTGGGAAATACCAAAAGCAGAAATAAGAACCACTCGAGTCCCACAGCTCAGAGCTAACCATTTCAGTTTATTATCTTTAATTTTTCTGTGCACAATTTTTACATGAAACATACTGCCTATGTTTTATTGTTGTTGTTGTTTGCTTCTTGCCTCATCTCAATTGTTTTTGGCTTATTATCTCATCAAAAACATTTCCCCCATGTTGCTATACAGATTTTATAACTGTCATTTTCAGTAGTTGCTAAGTGTCCCTTCACATGACTTTTCATGAATGTCTCCTGCTTCCTCCCAAACTAGCATGATTCCTGCCCTGTAGTTAGTATTTAGAATTAATTGGTTAAACAAGTGAAGATACAACAAAGTAATCATTCCCTATTTTTTTTTTAGAAATGTGTGTCATTTTCATTCTCTTGATTCTAAATAGTTCTAAGACAAATAGATTATTCCCTTAGGATAGTGTCCCAGACTGGGAATATGAGGTCAACAAGAGCCAAAAACTTTTACAGATAAATGCACCAAACCAGAAATCTTCCTCCCCTTCCATCTGTGCCACTGGCAATAGTGCCAAAGGTAATAATTTACAATTGATTAAAGAGTTTGCGAGGTATTTTTTTCCCGTCTTTTTTCTCCCTCCCTTCTCCTCCCCTCCTGCCAAAAAGGGGGGAAATTATCTGAGAAGGTGAAGATGTTCTCAGACAATCATATTAACATATTCCAACAATCGCAATTTGCAAAATAGTAATCACAACTCCCGGGATCTGGGAGGCATTAATCAAAGCTACAGGTTTAATTCCATTTTAAATATTGATGAAATGTGCCTCGGCAGCCTCACCCTGGCGTGGCAGGGCCAGGGGAGCCTCGGAGGCGTAGGGGAGGTGGAGGAGGGTGGGTGAGCAGCTGCCGGAGGGGAGGCATCTGTGATTCAAATTGGTGGCTGTGCAGCCAGGTAGAGAGTGAAAGGGGTAGTGAAGAGGGCTGTTAAGTCCATTGCTGTCAATTTGTAACGATCAGGGAGGGGCCTGAGGACTGGTTCAGCACAATAAACCCAGTTTGTCTGGTTTCAGGGGTTACCGCTGAAGAGGCTGCAGCTGCACTGATTCCAATAGCCTGGAGACTTCAGAACTGTAATTATCAACCAGGCTGCTCACAGTGTGGCAAAAGTGGGCTCCACCAGCGCTTAACTCCTTGTGTGCTGACACATCGCGGCCCATCTCCCCACCCCTGGGCTTGCCAGCCTGAACTGGGACTGCCAGGCAGCGGGCCCAGGGGAAACTGAGGCCCACTGGCTACTTAGGACAGTTTTCAAAAGCCAGCGTGTACTAGCCAGCAAGCCTCTTTCCTTAAATCATAGGTAAAGAAATGTGTGTGTTACATGGGGGGAGCCTCGGTCCTGGCATCCCCACATCTGCTCTGGGTGGAGGTTAGGCTGCAAAGCCTGATAAAGAGTTGCTCAAATTGCATGGGCCAGGGACCTAGAACCAGGCTCATCCCCTTTGTAACATGGAAGCACTCTCCCCTCCGCTGTGGAGATCCAATGAGATGCAGTGCTAAAATAGCACACAGTAGGCTGTCCATGGGCCTCCATCTCTTAGCCCTGGCCCTGGGGCTTTTTACAGGAGAAGAAGGCGTCCCTGGGCAGGGGGAATCTGATTCAGAGGGCAGGCTTTTGATGGCTTCTGCATTTCAGCTTTCAGGAAGACCCCTGGTTACTGAGCTTCTACCATTCATCACCCATCTCAGGTGGAAGGTTCTGAGCTAGGTACAGAGGAGAGAAGGCCAGAACTCCTCCATGCTATAGCCCAAAGAAGAATCAGAGGACAAGGAGCAGAGAAGAAAGGGAGGAAGGAAGGAAATAGTGTGGTGAGAGAAGGGCACAGGCTCAGTTGGAAACACTGGTGAACAAAGTCTGTGCAGGATTGATGGTCCTTCTTTTGGGATGTAGCCCCAGGGAAATTCTCCCACAGATCCCTGAATGCATGTACTGAAGAATGCTTGTCCCAGTGCTGTTCCTGGTAGCAGGGAATTGGAGGCAACCTCCATCTCCGCTACTGGGAGGATGGAGAGTGAAACGTGAGGGGGCCAACCATGCAACATGAGGCAGCAAAGAAGCAAAGAACTAGACTCCATGTAGCAACAAAAAGAGGTCCTAAAAATGTACCATGGGGTGAAAGAAGTTCGGCACAATGAAATTCACAGCACAATGCCATTTTCATAAATTAAAAACACATTCAGACACAAAACAACAGTACATACTTTATATAACTACATGCATTTTTAGGGATCTATATCCCACCATTAGCGTGGGTCCCTGTTGTGGTGAGGGGCTGGGTGTGGTCTGGAGGAGAAAGGGGGAAAATAAAAATACAGAAATTCACAAGGGGTATTGCACAGAGAGAGGATGATCACGTGCGGTGGGACTGAGGATTGTGACTCATTCAATTCTATGTGAGGTTTTGTTGTGCAGCACAGGTTTCATAATTAGACAACTCTAGGTTCAGATTGTGGGTCCTCCCACACACTAGCCCCAGGCTGTGGGCAAGTGACCTGACCTTGGAGCCTCTGTTCATCTAAAGTGATGGGAAAGACTTGCCTTTCCAGGGAGACCATGAGGAAGCTGAGCCAGATGGCTGGGAATAGCTACAGCTGCCACCGCGGCTCCTCTGCATGTCCCTGGCAGGCTCCTGAGTCAGGGGGACCCCTGGACCCTCAAACCTCAGGTTCTTTGAAGGGTCATGAAAGGAACGCCCAGAAAGGAAACTAGGACCTAAAACTATGTGCTAGTGCTACCAGCCAGGCCTGACCCCACCGCTCTGGGTTTGCTATTTGTGATATGTCACACCGGTGAGCACTGGAGAGTGAGGCTGCCACTCTGACTGCCCATCAGGATCAAACCGGCTCAGAGTGGCTGAAAGACCTCAAGCTGCCTCATCAGGCAAACTATAAACCCTTTTGTGTTCAATTTCCCCCAGACCAGGCCCTCTGCCGAGGGATTAGATTTAAATGAAAGGGTTGCTTCTGCCCACACAGAGCTAAACACATGGGCCACCAGCAGACCATCAGCCTGTGTTGGAATGCACTCCAACTCAAAGACCCCACCCGGGGGACTCCCAGGGCACGCAAGGTCTCGGTGAGGACCAGGCATGACTGGCTCTTCCTCTTTCCCTACAGACGATGATGAGCATGAGTGGATCATCCGGACCTGTCGGAAGGGCTGGGATGAGATTGTGGGTCACAGGCCCAAGCTGTGAGTTCTGCAGCAGCCTCCACCAGAGGCTGTCATCTGTCCCGCTGGCACTGGCTGCCTTCACCCTGGGAGGCTGTAATTCTAGAGCCTCGATTTTGACTGAGGAATAAAAGCTTTCTGCACTCAGTGGCTCCAAGTGTATTTGCCTTCGAAGACGTTCTCAGAACTCATCCTCATTTCACCTGCATCAGAAGCACCTGGGAAAAATCATGAACTATAGCTATTCCCAGGCCTCAGCCTAGACTTGCTAATCAGAATCTTTGGGAATGGAACCTAGTAATTTGCATTCTCAGGTAGTTCTTATGCATATGAAAGTTTGAGAACCACTGTCATACAATAACAGATATATGTGACTGAATGAGCCCCTCGTGGGCCAAGGCAGCATGTGGGCATCTTCCCGGCTCCTAACAGCAGCCTTCAAAGGAGGGGTAAGCATAACCTTTTGCAATGGGGCATCTGAGGTTCATAGACAGTGACTGACTCTCTTGGTTTCAGAGGACAGTAGGACCTGATTATTGTGACCAGCTCACAGCTGGCACCTCCCCGAATAACTCCCCACTTATGTCTTTTACTCTTTATGGGGCCATCATTTGAGCCTCAGGCAGGAGGAGGTGCAGAATCAGCTTGATGCCATAGGAAGAATGTGGCTTTGCCATCATCCATTTCTGGGTTCAAATCCCAGCTCAACCACAGTATTACATAACCTTGGGCAAGTCACTTCTCTAAGCTCAGTTTCCTTATCTATAAAATGGTTATAATGATATTTAAAACAACAGAGTAGCTGAGAATGAGTCAAATGAGATAGTACATGAAAAGGAGTTGGTGCTTAGCAGGTGTAAAATATGTGTTTGTTTTAAACACATGATGCAGTTTGTTAGCAGCATATATAATCACTCTTCAGAATCACCTCAGAGCTCACATTTGTCAACTGAAAAACAGAAGTGGAAGCAGCAACATGTCTCAGGGCCACTTGTGGACCCCAAGCAACCTGGATCTTTGCACAACTGTCCCTCTTGGGAGGTTGCTGGATCCTGTGGCCTCCTGGGTCATGTCCCCTGTCTCACCAGAACTTTCTGGTAGAAACTGGTAAAAACTGGGAGGGCTCTGCAGGGAAAGGAAACTGGACCTGCAATGAGCAACCCAGAGCTATCATGCAGGTACAGCCAACAGCCAGAGGAAGGCCTGGGTCCACTCTCAGCTATACCATGGAGGAACCTGGGGAAATAACCTCACCCCTCTCAGACTCCAGTCACTTTGACAGAATGATAGGGCTGAGCTCCACGGCTGATAACAAACTGAGTTTTGAAAACAGAAGTTACATTCATAGTGCTGGGGATGTGGCTCAAGAGGTAGCGCGCTCGCCTGGCATGCGCGCGGCCCTGGGTTCGATCCTCAGCACCACGTACAAAGATGTTGTGTCCGCCGGAAAAAAAAAAAAAAACTATAAAATAAATTTTAAAATTCCCTCTCTTTTTTTTTTTTAAAAAGAAGTTACATTCATATAAGCACACATGCCTAATATATTATCAAAGATACACATATATCTAAACATTTGAAAAATGGATTAAGAGAGTAAAGTGGGGAGGCACATGAATGGGGGTAAGAAATAGGACCCAGCTCAAATGCCTCCCCTTGTCCCACAGAGCATACTAGAGTGATGTCTGTTTACATCATTGGCCAGATTGAGAGCTCCTCTAGGCAGGGTGGGGCTGGGACCCTTCTCTGAATCTGCAGAGACAGCCCAGGGCCCAGTAGAGAGCTGGTGTTCAGGGAGCACAATGCAGACAACAGCCAGCCTGATCTGCTACTCACTAAGACATAGGGATGATGCAATATTTATAGAGAAAAAAAAAAAAAAAAACCCTTCTTCGTGCCTTTGCAATGCACAATTTACCAACTGGGAAATGGTACCGACTTTTTAGCTTTGCACTGTCCAGCAGCCCAGAAATTCTGGGAGCCAGGGACCCAAGCCCTTAGCCAGAGAGTAGGAAAGAAATGAAATCCCATCATGTTCTGGATTTAAGTGCCAGCACTTCTACTTGCGTTAACTTTATTTATTACACAAATAAGACATTTACAAAGCACAACATGAAAGATATGTAACAAAACAGACATTGGTTTTACAAAAAAAGTGCTTACAATTTTTATTCCATGTGTGTATTTCCCCTTTTGTTTTGTATTTAAATAAATAGTCTTGTCGGCCTGTGTGTTCCCAGGCTGCTCTTAACAGGGTAGTGGAGACGTTTGAACTGCAACATGCTACTGTCATGTAGTCCACGCAAGGAACAGACCCTGGGGAGAGACTCAAGACAGAGAGGATCCTGGGTGACCCTGGGCAAGGCTCAGTTGGCCGCTTACCACATGGTTGTGATTGGGGCTTTGATCATTAGGAGCAAAAATCAAAGGAAAGATCTGAGCTCCCCAAGGCCAGGGATCAGGCCCAGGTCACTCCTGTTAGTTCAGTGCCCAGACAGAGGCAGCACAAGTTTTCACTGGATGACTTCTGAACTGAGCCATATTCACCACATTCTGAGTGGTGCTTTCTCTTTGACCTTAGTTAGCTGTAACATCTTTGGAAGGGACAGAATGCAGGTTCCCTTCTTGGGCCTCACCCATGCCTAGGCCTCCTCCAGAGAAAATGGCATGTAAGTTCTCATTAAGTGCCAACTTCAAGCATGTGAATCCCGAAACCTTATCCAGACTCAGAGAGAGTGCATCTATTAGTGATGTCTGCTATGGGTGAAGACAGAGGGACCACAGCTGCGTATAACTATAAACTTGCTTTCCCTGTCCTGGAGTCTCCTTCCAAAAGCAGGCAGGAGGACTGGGGCTAAAGCATGCTTACTAGCAGCCTCTAGTGGGAAATGCACTAGGTCTCCAAGTAGTTCTAGAATTATAGGATAAGCTTGGGGCAAATGGGCATCCCCTGAAAACATAAATATCATGGTCCTATTTGCCCAAGCCCTTGGTTTCAGGTGGAAGAGTTGCAGCAGGATGGGGTGGATGAGAGCACAGCTGTGTCTAGCCTTGTTCTCAGGAGTGGGTGGGGCTGGCTCTGGGCAGGGTTGGCAGGGAAGCCCATAGGACTAGCTTGGCACACTCACCTAAGCAGTGGGCACCTCTCGACTCAGAGATGGATCAGAGTTTACATTCTGGCTCTCATTTCACTGGGCTCTGTTCCTTGGCCCCCAAGAGTGGTCCCCTAGCCCAGGCACCCCTATCAGTAGTGAACCAGCAGCCAAAAAGCATCCCCAACTCTAGCCTGCCCAAACACTCGGCAGCAGCATCACACAGATCAAATACCATCTTTGCTACGTCTCCTGCACTTATGTTAGATAGTCAGGTGGGGGTAGGGTTTCCCCTCCGTCCCAAGTGTTCGCTTTCCCCTCCTTGAGATGGTTAGTGCCTCTCCCAGTGCAGAGTGCCACATGTGCCACATCCCTCTCCTCGATCTCCAACCAATGGGGGCCTTTGTCCCCCATCCCCCGCCTGTCCCTCTGCCTCTTGGTCTGGGCAGGCCTCCATCTCTGCCCTACTGGGCCTCTCAGGGTTGGTCAGTGTCTCTTCTCTTTCTGAATTAACTTGACATAACCAGACAGATGGAAATGATAAAATTAGAACATAGCTTTCCTTTGGGGACATCCCACAAACACTGTAGAGTTTTCCAGACAAAAGCAACAGAGTGGATGACATTGGGGGTTGTCGGCTATTCGGAATTCAGAGATGGTTCCAAGGAAGTAGTAAATAAAGGCCAATGGGGGTGGGAGGGCGGGGAAGAAAACCTGTAAATTAGGAGGCTGTTGGTGTCGCATGATTCAGTTTGTCTTTTGCTATTGGAATCAGCTGAAGTTGGAGATGACTCCTGTTTAAATGGGAAAAACAGGCTGTTGTTTTCACCCTGATTCCAAATTTCAGGGAGCTCTGCCTTCCAAGAGGAGGCCTCTGTGATGCTCCTGGCCAGTTCTGGTTCTCAGCAGGAGAGGGAAGGCCAGGCCTGGGGGCCCAGCGGCGGGCAGAATGGCGGGTGGGGGTGGATGCGGAGGCGGTGGATCCCTGGCCACAGTTTGGACACTGGATCTCAGCGGCTGAGGGGCAGCTGTGGGGTGCCCATGGACAGATGCGGAAGTGCCGACAGCGTTAGTACTGAAAAAGGATGACCTGCAAGAGGAGGGCATGGGAGGTGGCTGAGTTGGGAGCCTGCCCCACTTGGCAGCCCCCAGGGATCCTCAAAGTCATGCAGCATAAGGAAGGGCTCAGGGCCTAGATCTGGGTTTAAATCTTGACTCTGGCAGCTTACTTGCTGTGGGACTTTGGACAACTCACTTCCCCTCTCTGAGCCTATTTCCTCATCTGTAAACAGGGATGACAAAAACCTCTCAGAACAGGGAGGATTCAATGAGATACAATAGCAGAAGCAAAAACCTACTGGGCACTTTACCCTGCTCCCTCCATAAATTGCTTCAATGAAGCTGCACCTCAAGCCCATGAGGAAGTCCTACTGTGATGGTCTCTATTTTACAGGGAGGGCACCAAGGCTGAAAGAAGTGGCAGTTAGTGAGTCCATGATCACAGCTAGGAAGAGGCACACCAACACTGGAATCCAGGCAGGCTCTTTACTAAACCACCCATCTCTACCTCTCCAACACCACCATGACAACAGCTGCCCACGGCACACAATCTACCAAGCCAAGGGCTAAGCACCCAGTGTGCACCGGATCTGCACAAAGCCAAGGCATGTGGCTAAGCCAGCCAGAGGCTGATGCACAGCAAGTGGGTGGGCCTCTGCTCCTTTCTCTTTCCCTCTTCCACTTAGAGCACCTGGCTGACATCTTACTGCCACCCATACAACCAATCCCCTGAAGTTCAGGTCAAGGATTACTGGCTGGCTGGTCAAAATGGGGTGTCCCTTTTCACAGGAAAATAGGAGGAGGAGGTTTCAAGTGGCCCAGAGTCTGCCAGTGGGCACCATCACATCGCTGATACATTTTCTGATCAGGATGCTTCTTGCCCAGAATCAGCTACCAGAGGAGGTGGAGGAGGAAAGCAAAGATGTTGATCTCCATAGTAGCATGGTAGTCC